CTCATCGTCTAGGGTTAATATCCAAATCTAAAATTTAGAAGTTTACGCAACAAAATTTTACAGTCATTTTCGCATCTAGTCACAAATATGACCAAGTACGACTTATGATCACCATGTCCCTTCTCCAGATCTTACTGCTCTACTCCTGAGAATATTTCAACGTAGCAGTTTTGAAAGCGGCATTTAGCCAACCGGCGTCCGAGAACCCTAGTTATCTTTTTTGCCAACGAAAGGACATAGATGGCTGGGGCAATTTATTGGCCAGCAAGTCCCATCATGCAGCGTGCAAATTATGGCTGACGATCGCTGAAAATAAGGAGATTCGACAGAAGCACAAGTTTTGGAAAACCTTTCTAGAAACGGAATGCCGAAAAAACTGACGACTTGAAACGATAATGCGACTTATGCAAAAGACTTCTCCGTGAAGCACATGCATCTGACAATGTGAAACTCCTGGGAAGGCACAGTAAAGACCCAAAGCAGTATATGCTTACATCAGAAGTAAAATCAAATATTGTGACCACCTTGCAGCCCCAAAACACAAAAACAATCTGATGGCGGACGATGGCCCCCAAAAGGCCGAACCTCTCCCTGGGTATTTACAGGGAGTTTATACCACTTAACCCTCACAGCAGCACAAATCTCCTTCACAATTTCTTACCAACCTCCCTATAAGTACAGTATAATTTGCTCCACAGTTAGTTATGGCGGAATTGAAGAAATTGAATCCGGTCAAGTTACCTGGACCAGAGGAGGCTCCAGGTGTATCCTGTATCAATTAGCTGACCAATGTGTGTCATCTTCCGAAAGTTTCTTGCAGCTGATAACATTCACGGTACATGGGAATGGACAAATATTGTACCCATCCATAAAGGGGAATTCCGGCTATATCCCACAAATTACCGACCGATCAGTCTGACATGTATCTGGTGTAAGCTGATGGAGAGGAAAATCAAAAAATCAGTTATATCCCTTGATGCATTCCACTGCTAGATCAGATCCTGTCTTTTAAATTACCTTTTATCAGTTGAACACTGGTCAACGGTAGCTGACGGAGGACATGAAATTGAAATCATTTACTTTGCGTCCCGTCAAGAGCGGCATATGCAAAAGATGTTAAACTTGAGGATTAGATGAGACCCACTTAACTAGGTTTGAGAATGTGTAATTCGTCATACACAAAGAGTTACTATGAGTTGCTATTGTCTAGAATGGGCATCTATAAGATGTGGGGACACACGGATCGGTACTTTGGGCGCTCCTATTTATTTATGCAAATAACATAATAAATTAGGTTAAAGCATGATTGCCAACTTAAAAATAATCTGTTCCGCACCAATCAACGTTCTTTCTTGTTCTCGAAGTCATCCAGCGGTAAAATTATTTGCCAACATATGTCGTGCAATCCGCCAATGCGAGTGCTTTAAATAGGAGTCTGGATACTTACTTGTTATAGGTCAGCCAAAGCTCCCCAAAGTTCATTTAATAAATTACTGTCATGACTATCAACAAGTCACTTTCATGCTTTCAGTTACCTGAATCGGTTGTTCGTTAAGTTTAATACTGCTGAACTTGTCGCGTGCAAATGCAATCAGTACACTGTTCGCTGTATTTAGTAAATTTACCAGCATTTTAACGCCTGTTCCGCAACCTGTCTTCGCGATTTCAAGTGCTGAAATAATATTTTAATTTTTGCAACTTACTTGCTCTTCATGCTGAGTAGTATTTTTAGTCGAGTGTACACGGACTTCACTCATTTACCTCAAATAGAGGGATTTGATTTGACCAGTGAACGTATTTTCAGTACAGTTCTGTTTATTTAAGGAAACCTAGGATTCGTACTGCTGAATTGCCTATTTGATAAAATCAATAAGAATATAACAAAAACAGTTTAAGTCCAAAATGGGCAGGGAAAAAAGAAACATCGAAAACCTTACAGCCAAGCTATAGATTAAAGTGATATCAGTGTTAGCTGGGGCGATCTCTGGGGAGGAATATTTAATCATCTGACGTTTCCTACTCGTGCTCGAGCACAGCATCGAAGATAGACTAAATGAGAAGTGAATGGTCCAAATAGGTAATTCGGCCCGCACCTCATAGGTCGATTCCGCTCTCTTCTTATTGGCTCTTCTCTCGCGTGCGAGTGGTACCTGACGGCCTTGTATGGCGCTGGTAGATCAATATTGCGGTTGATCTAGTTGGCGTCTGATTGCC